TAGTATATTTTATTAAAATTAAATAATTTGTAATAATGATGTTTAATATGTCAGTTTAGAAGAGAGCTAAAGGATGTTATAGAATTGTTAATTTAAGGATAATATAATTTAAGACAGAATATAATTATTGTATTGTAAACCCTGTGTGTAGCTCTGGGAAGTCGGGGGGAAGGGAGGGGGGTGGGGAAGGGTGGGGTATAAGGGAGGTGGGGAGTTATATTGTAAAAATTTTAAAAATTTTCAATTTAAAAAAAAAAATTGCTATTAGTCTTAATCATCCATGATGGCATTCTATCTTTTGCCCAGGGAAGTTTTAGAAAAATCACATTAGTTGTAAAATTGTATGTATGTATGTATGTATGTATGTATGTATGTATGTATGTATGTATGTATGATAAAACCAATAAATATTGATCACCAAGAGGAAAGTAATAAATAGTAAAAAATTTAATGAGCCGAGCTTTCATTGGGCCCACCCAACATCATCAGGGCTTTAAAAGTAGTCACTGGGAAAGAGCTTTTATAAGATGTTAGCAGCCTGCATCCGGCTTCTGGAACGTGTCACCGGACCCAGCTGTTCGTGTTGTATCCTAGATGCATTACCTACATCAACGCATGATGTTTTTCCATACCTCCTCTGTATTTTACCATAATTGTTCTCCTCGTTAACTTCAGGGGTGGAGTGAATTCTGTGTGTGGCACTATGCTCTGGGGGGGGGGTATGCAGTTCTTCTTTGATCTCACTGCTAAATTCCTTCGTCCCTTACAAACGTGATCCAAGTGTGCCGTCTCCTCCTTGCCCCTGTCCCCAGACACCACCCCCATCTGATAAGGGGAGCAACTCCCAAGATCTCTGCTCATACCTTCGTCCCCTCTCACAGATGCCATAACGATCCCTTCCTTCCCCCCCCCCCGACCACGGGAGCCATCCTTGTTCGTAGACCGGGAATCCCTTTCCCTCTTCTGATGGGCTCGAGTCATCATAGTGTGTTTACCCAATTTACTACCCGGGGCGATTTTTAAGGAGGTCTGTGGAAGTTGCTGTCGGCCCCTCATGGGGCCAGGGGATATAGCTGATGGCCAGGGGATATAGCTGATGTATGTATGTATGTATGTATGTATGTATGTATGTATGTATGTATGTATGTATGTATGTATGTATGTGTTGCATTTATATTCTGCCCGTCTCACTATCCAAGCAACTCTGGGCTGCTTACAATAAAATCATAAACATAGAACATTAACAGGAATTAGATAAAAAGCTAGAAAACTAAGAGCAAGAGCACTATGGTGGTGGGCTCTTTCCTATTAATCTACCAGCCATCTAGAGAATTTAGTGCTCTCATTAGGGCCCTAAGCCAACTAGAAGTGCCAGGTTTGAATGCCCATCCAGAAAGCCAAAAGGATGGGAGCAGATCTCACCTCCAGTGGCAAGATATTTCAAAGTGAGGGGACCATGGTAGAAAAGGCTCTTCTCCTAGACCAGGGGTCTTCAAACTTGGCCCTTTTATGACTTGTGGACTTCAACTCCCAGAATTCCTCAGCCAGCATGCCTGGCTGAGGAATTCTGGGAGTTGAAGTCTACAAGTCATAAAAGGCCAAGTTTGAAGACCCCTGCCCTAGACCAAGGATCTCCAAACTTGGCCATTTTAAGGCTTGTGGACTTCAACTTCCAGCATTCCCAGAATCCCACGGCTGGCTGAGGAATTCTGGTAGGTGAAATCCACACATCTTTGGAGACTCCTGTCCTAGACTCTGCTAGCTGAAGCTGCTTAACCAGTTGGGCTCACAGCATGCCCCTTTTGCCAGACTAATTCGGACTCTTTCTTAGCCATTATGATAAGACAAGCTATTGATAGCATTAATGAATGGATTTCAACATCAACTCTTTGAGCAACTGATCGTAATGATTCAGATTTATTACTCTAAAAGAATAAGTGCAAGTATGCTAAGTATCTGTGGGTAACATTTGCAGATTACTACTGATCTGGCTGTTGGCTCACCTATGATGCTCTGAAAAGTTATCTTACTCTGTGGTATTTTGTGATATACAGTCATTTTAATTCTACTCTGTGGTATCGAAGGAGATGCTAATATTTTTGCTATAACAGAATATTACCTGCTTTCAGAGAACCACATCTGCTTCAGCAGTGTTTGTTAAATAGGGGAGGTCTTGACTAAGAAGTCTATGGAGGCTGCTTTGTATTTGCTAATGTGCTAGTGCAATGTCCATTGTGTAGCTATTAGCCCCAATGCCTAAATAAGAATGAGGGAATCTGCCAATCTCTTATTCTCCCCCCCCCCCCGAATTTAAGATAGTTTCTTCTCATTTCACAGAAAACCTAATTCATTTTTATGCATGGTTCACAAATTATATCTAGAGATATGGTGCAATTTCCAATTTCTACTTATATCATCACGCTGAGATGATGTCTCTTTTACAATCACTTGCCTGCTAGGGTGAACGAAATCATGTATTAGGAGAGCCAGGCAAAATAGTCTTAGAAAAACACACACATTATCTTCCATATCTAAATGTTCAATATCCAACCCTTAAGGATCTTTCCACAGACAGATAGACAAACAACAAATCAAATCTTCAATCTGGGACCATGGATTTTGTGGTATTTGCCCATGACTTACTGCTCTTAGTGTAGAATGAAGCCCTCTTAAGAGTAAAACCTCTCAAGGAAGTTATAATAACGAGACAGCCAATTTTCTGATGACCTGCTTTCAGCTTACTAAGCCATGCAAATAAATCCAGTCTCTCAGCTTTTCATGATGATTCAACAAGGCATATTTATACTGTAGATGGGGAAGACAATGTTTGCAGTAATGATTTCCATGCCTTCTGATGCTTCAGCACTTTGAAGGACAAGCTAACTAGGGATTTATTATCCTTCAGACAAATGTATTTGTATTAATTCAGGCTTTCTGAATCTGAGCGATTCCTAAAGGAAGCGGAGTGATTGTCTGGAGAAGAATGGACAGGCTTCCTGGCAAAAGCATCATTATGCCTTTAAGGAAATGGTTTTGTATAATTTCCAGAGCTTGGATGAAATCATTGTTCTATCATAGGTAGCCCCATAAAGTAGCTGCCTTAATACTTGGAGCAGGGTGAGTCTCACTATACAGTCTTCCCTTTTGTATAATAATATATATTACTGTTGCTGCTACTATTCGAGTATAGAAATATGTTTAGGAAAATACTGTTTCTTCCAAGAAAGACCTACATATTTAAGATGCTTACATTGTTTTATGGCAGAATCTTGGACACTGGTCATTTTCAAAAGATTTTCTGATTTTGCATGCCTGGTATTTTTATTGACCAAATATAGATAGCATTCTTTTCAACCCAATTATTGTGAGAAAAAGATTGCACGTGTCTGTAAAACCTCTCTCGCATATTTTGAAATAGTTTTTCCTTATTGTTGTTGCTGTTATTATTATTATTAGCATATGGCATTGTTACATTAGCCAGGAGACAACAACGCTAATGTAGAGTAGAAGTTTGGCTGCCAATTTACTAGCTCTGTTGTGGTACACGCTCGTGTGCTTCCCAAGGTGCACAACAGGAAGGCAAGCTAGCTTCACACCAGAAAGAAAGATGAGCAGCTCTTCCTGTAGCGCCATCCAAGCCCTCCCTTCCTCCACCAGAGCTGCCTTCCAAATGGGCACCACAACTAGGAAGGTTCAGAGCTGGCAGGAATCTGACCGCCTGCACAGAGTTCATCTCCTCACCGAAGTGGTACCTATTTATCTACTCACATAGATCATACTTTTGAACTATTAGGAGGGGAGAAGCTGAGGCAAGTGATGGGAGCTCACCCCACCACACAGTGTTAGGGTTCAAACCACAAGAGCAGTGACCATCTCCACTGTCATTAATCCACTGAGCCACCACATCTCCAATTTTCCCTATTATAATGTATTTTAATATATGATTTTCACTCAATAGAGAAAATTCTTCTGCATGTATTCCTGCAATATTATAATTGTATATATGGGGAGGAGGACTTAAAAGATTACTTACAAAGGTAACCAAACAGTGAAGAACAGCTGCATTTTGGTTTATTGTAAAGATCTGAGAAATTTTAGACAGGTATATTCTTATTAAAAGGTGGACCAATTTTTCCCCAATCAGTATGACCAGGTTTCTTGAAAATTCCTGAAATAAAGATTCTCTTCTCCTCCTCCTCACAGAGATGGTTAAACAAAAGAAAGTTGCCTGCCTCCATTACTATAATCTCAGTGAATCAAAGACATTTTAAAAGCAAATTATTTGCTGGAAAACTCTAGTCTTCTTTTCTTAAATACAAAAAACTTTTCAAGCAGCGCAGTTGTATTTTTCTAAAGAATTCTCTGGAATTCCTCCCCTCCATAGTTCCTTTCAGTCAAGCTTAAAGCCAAGTGTCTTAATGTACATCTACAGCTTGAAATCTATCCAGATTCTGATCAGGCTACCTCTTGAGTTTTAGAATATCAGCCAAATGCTGCCACCTGCAGGATTGGGAAATCAGATGACAAGGGGAAATAACATCAGAAGAGAAGTAAATGCAAGTTATTTCCATATTGCCAAGAGAACAGTATCAGTACTTCCATGTAGTCACCAGCTGAATTCTCATCTTAAATACATCTTTATCCATTCCTGGGCAACCTTCCAAACGAATCTTGTCTCCATGGATCAAGTTCCTCTAAAAAGGTGAAGACCAGGTTCACTAAATTTTCATACACACCTTAATAGAGCAAATGTATACCACTGCAGAGAATAAATGATGTGGAGAATCTGGTATGCAGTCCAAAACTAAACTCCAATGCAGTCATTGAGGACAGGGCCTGTAATAAATAGATTAGAATACAAAATACAGAATACCAGGGTTGGAGGTATTCTAGTCCAATCTCCTTGCTCAAGCTGGAGACTCTATACTATTTCTGGACAATCTCTTTTTAAAAACCTCCAGGTATGAAGCACCCACAATTAATGCTGGAAACTAGTGGCACTTGAATAAATATTGTAGAAACAGACCAAACGGTCTCAGCCCTGGGCATTTTAGCTTTCATTAACAATAAACAAAGATGAACTATCACCTTTCTGGCTTTGATTGGGGCTGGTGGAAAACATGACACCATGCTAATTCACTACTCTCTATTGTTACCTCACACTTTAAAAGAAAAGAATTCTCTAAGAGAATTACTGCCAGTGCAGCATACTGCCTTGAAAAGTTTTGTTTGAAGATAAACAACAGAAATAGAAAATAAGAAAAGGGAAAAGGCTTGAAAATGAATAAAAGTGCAGAAAAGGGAAAAAGTAAGAAAAACGGGAACGGAATCTTTTAACTTTGTATCTTTTTTTGAAACCAATATAATTATTTAAAAAGTTTTATTAGATCAGTGTGTCTCTAACATTCTGAATTAGGTAAGAGGGTCTTATCTTCTGCCCCTTCTGTTTCCAACCTAACTAATCTCTTCTTCCACCAATGAGTGGAAAGCAGGACTCTGCAAGTTATGAATTTGGGGGAATACTTCCCCAAAATATGCCACTCCAAGCCGAAGCAGACTAGTATAAAACCACCACATATTTCATGTATTGATAGGAATAAGAAAGCATGTGATTGTCCATGTGATTTTTCCACATCTATGGCTCCTTTTGTTACATTAAACATTATAGGATTCTGGCCTCTTTCGGGTGCCTCACCTGGTCACCTCTGTTGTGAAGGAATTCTTTGCTTGAATACAATTGTGTGCACAACCAAAGTATGCTTTTGGATTCTGCAATTGTGGTGATAATATCATCTTGGCATTAGAAGTAGAATACTGTAAGACAGCAGTCCAGTATCTACCCTACAGCCATAAGCAGAGAAGATAGCCTTTTGCTAATGATGTGGCGCCCTGGTGGCACAGCAGTTAGAATGAAGTACTGTATTGCAGGCTAATTCTGCCGGCTGCCAGCAGTTCAATTCTCACCGGCTCAAGGTTGACTCAGCCTTCCATCCTTCCAAGGTTGGTAAAATGAGGACCCAGATTGTTTGGGTGTGGGGGGGGCAATATGTTGACTCTGTAAACTGCTTAGAGAGGGCTGTAAAGCACTATGAAGCGGTATATCAGTCCAAGTGCTATTGCTATTGCTTTGCTCCCTGATTAGAAGAACAAAGATAGGATGTGTTTCTTTTCTCTTTTCATATACTATAAAAGGTTATTTGATTCCAATTATCTCTCATTATGTCCTGGATTAGGTATGTTATAGCTGCTGAAATTTGTTCAAATGCTTTGAGAATTTTTCTATCCAATAGCTTCCTTGTCTAACAGTCAAAAGCTATGCAATGTTAAATCCACCCATAAGAAAATGGCCAGAATGAGGCCGGGCCTTTGCCCAATTATCTCAGGAAAGGAAGATGCCATCTTTATGAAGATCTTCTTTGTCTTGGAACCTCCCAATGCCATTTCTTAGCCTTCCCACAGAGCTGTATTAGCTTGTTAGAATTGGTTGAGAAATCCCTTTTCCCCCAAAAAAGCTCAGGTCAGCGTTTATATTATTTTACGTTTCTTTTTATCTTCATATCTTCATTTCATTTTTACAAGCAACCTAGTAAGATAACTCAGAAACAGTGGGTGGCCCAGGATCACCCAGGGAGATTCATGGTTTAGAGAGCTGAATATCTAGAAGAACAGCTGACTTCAGATTCCTCCAAAAAGGACAGAAGCAGCCTGCTGAGAAACAGGTTAACAAGGTAGAAAACACAGCAATGGTTTCTGCTAGTTAAGTAAAACTGACACGTTTGTTTTATTCTGAGGAACAGTATTGTCTTCCAGCACATTTTCTTTCAAGCTAATGACAAGAAAATCAAAAGAAGACAATGTGAATCAGGAGGGCTTTCAACACATTAAGACCACTTGCCACCTATTTGTATCATGGTAAATAAAAGATGGATTAATGAAAATTCTCAGATCACCAAGAGTGGCCTGTATGTTTATGCAGCCAGGCAGAAATTTAATCAGAGGGAATGTGATAATGAAAGCAAAGCAGAGAGGATAATCATGAGAGCTACAAGTGCAATGATTAAAGAGAGTTGGTGACGTTTCTTCTTTGGAGTGTACAATGCCTCAAATTCAAAGACAAAGGGGTGCTTCAGGTACATTCACATGACACACCCCCCCAGCTGCAACTTCTTTAAGCAGCTGCTTCATCTTTTCCTGGGACTGCTCCACAGCTGCAATGCAATCCACATCCTGGTGTTTGGTTTAAGGCAGCGGTTCTCAACCTATGGGTTGCGACCCCATTTGGGGTCGATCGACCATTTCACGGGGGTCGCCAAGCAAGGCTGTCCGCCATTTTTTCCCCCCTTTTCCGGCGGGTGCCTTACCTCCCTTGAGCTGGGCCAGCTGGTGGTCGGCCTGCTCCGTCTCTGCCGCTTGCCAGCTACGCCTCGGCCGGCACAGGGGGCGGAACCACACATACGCGGCGCTCCCGGGCAGGGAAAGTCCTCGACTTACGACCGGTTGGGTAGTCCTCGACTTACGACCGGTTGGGTAGTCCTCGACTTACAACCGGTTTCGTCCTCGACTTACGACCAGTTTAGTCCTCGACTTACGACCAGTTGGGGGTCGCGGCATTAAAAAGGCTGAGAACCACTGGTTTAAGGCAAGGGTCTTCAAACCTGGCTCTTTTCTGACTTGTGGACTTCAACTCTCAGAATTCCTCAGCCAGCTGAGGAATTCTGGGAGTTGAAGTCCACAAGTCAGAAAAGGGCCAAGTTTGAAGACCCCTGGTTTAAGGAGTTTCAGACTTGGGTGATGTGAATGTTCCTATGCACTCCAAAGTATCTTGTTGCCTCTGAATCTGAAGCTTTGCACAGCTCTTCTACATCCACGTCTTACATTAAAACTTGTGTTCTCCCTTTCCCCAAACATTTGTGTGGCTCTGGAAACTCTCTGCTTCTACAATTGCCAGAAATTGGTGGTCTCACTATTCTGATCTGGGAAACTCAGAAGAACTGTTGGATGGATCTAAAAATAGAGTTACTTTTTTTTAAAGAAAACCCAAATGTTGTGTGATAGTTACAAAACAAAAGAAAGAAAGGATGGGGGAGAGACCCTCTTTCCATTGGAAGAGGACACAA